CCGGCGGGCTCATGCTGGAGGGGAGTCGCCGGGCGCAGCCCCGGGACGCTCTCTCCTCCCAGCCTCCCCCTTTCTCCTGGACTCCGCGCGGCCGGAGAGCGCAGGGCTGCCCGGGAGGCACCGAAAGAGCTGGTCGGCCGTCCCTCCCTCCCGGGCGAGGGGGAATACAAACATCTCCCGGGAGGGGAGCCGGGCGGGGAGCAGTCCCGGCCTCCGCTCCGCTTTCCTAACCTTTGCCTGACTGCCCGCTCCTCGCCCTGGTCCCCTGGGGCCCTCCCAGGCGCTGCCGGAGACCGAGAGGCCCGGAGCCCTTTCCTGTGCCCACACCCAAAAACGCAGCCCTCAAAACCGAGCAGGGTCCGCCTGCGGAAAAAAGGAACTGTAAAATCCCTGCTTGTGGGGGGGCTAAAAAAAAAAAATCCTTTGATGGGTGTGGGCCTCTCCTCCCCTCCGTTCGCGCCTCCTCCTACCCTTCACCTCCTTCCCCGGACTGGACCCCGTGGCCGGTTTAGTTGCACAACCAGCAAGGCTGTGACACGGGTCTGAGGCCACTGCGCATAGGTCTCTGTGTCCATGAAAAGGCCTGTTGGGAGCCCGGCCCGGTTTTCCCTCTGCTGTTTGCAAAAGGGGATTTGGCTCCGAGTTTCCCACTGGCTGCTCAAAAGAGCCAAACACCACGTTATGTATGTTTTAATTTTATTTTAATTAACGTGCTGAGCCCATGGGTGGGGGCGATTGAGGGTTGGGGCAGTTGGTCAAGGAGTCTTATCTTGAAAATAATCGTGGGTAAAATTAGACGGCGCCGAAGTCGGAATCTTTGCTAAAATTTCCATTCCTTTGGTTTTGAGATAAACTCTCTGCCCTGTGCCTCTGGGCTCCCAGCACAGGAAAGGGGTGAGAAGGGAGCCGCCGGAGGAACGCCCGCCCTCTTCCAGGTTCTCCCCACCGAATCCGAATCTGAACCCGAGACTCCGGATCAGCCCCACAGCACTCTCCACGGCCCTCGCCCCGGCTGGGACCCCTGTCACCTCCCCGCAGTCGAAACTGCTGCATTTTCTAACTGGTTTCCTTTCCTCTAGTTCATTCTCTGTAATTCACCTCCCACGCAGCAATGGGATTTTTCTAAAGTAGAGATATGGTCTTACCCTTTCCTCCCCCGCCCCCCAAGCCAGCGTGCGTGCCCTTCGATCCGCCAAGGTGCAGCTCTATGGGCCCGTGAGCCTATCTGGCTGGAAAACCAGTTTGATTTGGCCCACCTGTTTTCAAAACCTGGGGCCGGCCTATTGAAACCTGTATTTCCAGCCTCTCTTGGGCCAACCACCTGGCAGAACCACAATCAGCTGCAGCTGGGAGCAGCTGCCCCTCTGAGGCCGGCCAGGCAGTCTTCACTTTGCTGCAGTCCCCACCACTCCCTATTACTGGCCACCTTTCCAATACATTCTCCTGCCACTTTCCTCCTTGTTTTGGGAGTCCCACTGCTTTTTTTTTTTTTAAATCCTGACCGGAAGATATTTTTTCCTTTGATTTTCAGAGAGTGGAAGGGAGAAAGAGAGAAAGAAACATCGATGTGACAGAGGAAGCAACAGGAGAGGGACTAGGTGGGGAAACGAGCCTGGGCTGGGCTGCTTTGGCTCACTAAGAAGTCAGAGAAAAGGGGGCCCCGGGGGACAGGGTCAGGGGGTTGGCCCAGGACGAGCTGCCACGGCCCGCTGCTCCCCTGGTTGCAAGTCTCGCGAGGACCCTTTGAGTTTAGGGGATGCGGGGCCTGTGGCGCCAGAGGAGGGGGGAGGGAAAGCCTCGGGCATGCTCCTGGGAGGGAGACCCTGCCCCAGGAGAACGTCCCACAGTGACAGGAACGTTCTGGGGTGTGCGCGTAGCTTCTGAGCACTTGAAATGGGGCTAGTGGGGACCGCATTTTCAATATTATTTCGTTGTAATTCATGTAAAAGCCACACATGGCTTGTGGCCAACATGTAGGAAGCCCTGGACACCACTTCCTCTGTGCCCCAAGTCTCCTGGAATCTCCCTCTCTGGTCTGGGTTAGGGCCCCCTCCCTGTGGGTTCTGGCCACCCCCACACTTCCACCCACTGCAGCCATGGTTCACTCCTGTGCCCCCTTCGGCGCCCGCCCTTCCCTCTGCGGAGACCAGCGCTGGCTCTGCTTTAGCTTCTCAGGCCCAGGATGCCCAGCACCTGGCACTGAGGGGACGCTGGGTGAGTATGTGCTGAGTGCGTGAGGGAACTGGTGAGATGACCCCGATCCTCGAGGTGAGGAGACACCAGCAAATAGGACGGGCGGGTCCAGAGGACCTGAGACACGCCTGCCGGGCTGATCGGGCGTGGTCTTGGGCCCTGTCTGCCATCTCCTGCGATGTCCTGTGAGATAACGTGTCGCTTTCTATGTGACAGGGACAGGAAGTGAGCATCCTGGGTGGCCGCCTGGCAGGTGCGGGAGGAGGAGCTGCGTGTGGTCGGCGGGGGAAAGACGCCCCCTCCTGCCGGCTGCTCCTCTATTCCCGCCCTGCTGCGGTGCTCCCCCCGTTTCGGGTGACAGATGTGGGGGGATGTGTCTCCCGCTCCGAGCGAGTCCCTGCGACACCACGTGGCTGTCCCACAGTCCCATTCAATTCCGGCGCTAACTGGAGTCAGTGCAGACCCCACGGGCGAAGGGCTCAGTCCTGGCACTGGGCCCCACTTCCGATGCCAGTAGCCAGCTGTGAGCCCCCAGGTTACCCGCAATTCTGTCTGATTTGGCTACAATCCGAGGCTCCCGTGACCTCCGTCCTCGGATACCTTCCTCTGCTAGCGCAGCTCACAGGACTCGGGGAAACACTCCTACGTAAACCATGGGATAAAGGGCGCAGGTGACGCTAGAGGAACAGGTACATTGGGTGAGTTCTGGAAGGGTCCCAAGCTCGGGACATCTGTCCCCATGGTGTCGGGGTGTGTCACCCTCCCAGCCCCTCCACGTGTTCACCAACCCAGAAGCTCTTCGAACCCCCTACTTTGGGGATTTTTATGGGGGCCTCATGGCATAGGCACGATCCATCACTGAGTCCATTTCCAGCCCCTCTCCCCTCTCCTGGAGAATGGGGGATGGGGCTGGCAATGCCAACCTTCTAATCACGCCTTGGTCGTTTTGGTGGCCAGCCCCCATCCAGGAGCCCACCAAGAACCACCTCATTAGGACAAAAGATGCTCCAGGAAACTCCAGGGGACCCCCTGGCCGGTGTGGCTCCGTTGGTGGAGCCTCGCCTCGCGCGCCAGGAGGTCACTGGTTCAATTCTGGGTCAACGTGCCCTGGTTTCCGGCTCCATGCCCAGTAGGGGGCGTGCAGGAGGCAGCCAGTCGATGTTTCTTTCTCTCTTCCTCTCTCTGAAATCAAGAAAACGTCCAAAAACATATTATTTGAAAAAAAGAGGCAATCCACAAATACCCACTCCACCCCAAGTATCTTGAAAATGCCCGGAAAGAACCAGGTAAAAGAAAATGTCTGGCTAAGGGCCAATCCATCCCCAAGAATGGAAAAAACCCACCCAGGAGTCTTGAGAAAACAGATGGGGGTGGGACAAGGTGTCCATGTGGTAACCGGCGAGGTCTCGTCCAAGGAGCCCGGGAAACGGGTTTCCTTTCGTAGGAGACTTTTGTCAAAGCCAGCGCCGCTTCCTGCGCGCTTCCCGAGTGGCTGGTCTCCAAACACGACTTCCCCGTTGTCCTCCCGCCCACCGGCGTCACCGCTGTCCCCTCCTCCGGGCCTGCTTTGCCTGACGGCGCGTTCCGCTCTTGTCTTAAATACCCGGCTTTCTGCAGGTTTCCTTCAGGGGCGCGGTCTGCGGCGTGATGGAAAATGCTGCCGGTTCATTTAACCAGGTGGCAGGTGTGTGTGTGTGTGTGTTTCACAGCAGGGAGCCCCAGGAAGCCAGGCACTCGGGAGCTGACACGCTGACTCGACGCCGCCGTCGGGGACGCCGGCTGTTTTCACAGGTTCCCCGGGATAATCCTTAGCCCGTGGCCCTCTGTCCTCAGGCTGGCCTCTCCCGTTGCAGGGCGGCTGTGGCTGTGTCCATGATCCAGCCACAAAGAAGGGGGGCAGGCCAAGGCCTTTTTATTTTTTATTTTTTGGGTAATCCTTGCCCGAGAATATGTTTGACTTTAGAGAGAGGGGAAGAGAAAGGGAGAGAGAGAGAAACATTGCTTGGTCGCCTTCCGTACATGCTCCCGCTGGGCCTCGAACCCGAAACCTGGGCACGTGCCCTGCCCGGAGATCGAACCCACAGCCTTTTGGTGGACGGGATGTCGCTCCAACCCACCGAGCCCCACGGCCGGAGCGTCCTGGGGTGTTTTTTACATAAGGATTAATTCAGCTGACATCCTAAGACCTGGTCAACCAGAGCAGAGACTGTGTCCTGCTGGCTGCAGCCTCAGGGCCTGGCACCGCCGCCTGGGGCGCAGAGGGAGCCCGGGAAAGTCCTGTGGACTGAGTCTCCCCCGCGGGCTCTGCGTCCCCAGAAGGAGCAGGTTCTTTCTTTCTTTCTTATTATTTTTTTAAATAAGTCTTCATTGATGCCAGAGAGAGGAGGGGAGCGGGAGGGAGACACGCATCAGAGCGGCGAGTCCGGGACCGCCTGCCTCCCGCGCGCCCCCTGCTGGGGACCGAGGAGCCCGCAGCCCGGGCGCGCGCCCTGAGCGGGACT